GTAGCAAATTCGACATTGGGGGTAAGTGCCCAGAGATCCTGCGAGTCATCAATACCATTAAGTTCTTAACGACAAGTTCTTCTCTCCAACAGCTCCTTCTAGCCGGATAACGCCTGTATTAAAAGTTGACATAGCTAGATTAATGGTTTCGTTTAATATATAGTTTTATGTTATTTATAAATTTATTTTTACACAGATCTAAAAGATCTCGGCAGCTATTTGTAACTCCAATTTTAATTGCATTCTATATTTTAATTTAGTTTTCTCTTGTTTTTTGTGTATTTTTTAAGTTTGATAACCCAACGAATACGAATCCATATCAATGACATTCCATAGCATAGTCTTGGCCTAAAGCTAGCTAGAGAGGCGAGACCATCGTCAAGTGTACATAAAAACTATGTAAAGTTTAATCAAAAACAAAAATAATTAGTATAAGTTCTTAGTGATAAGCTTCGCATTTGCCTGCTAGGAATCAATTAACAATGTTAAAGATCTGCAAAAAGAATCAGTCTATGATCCAATAATCTTGTAGTATATATACATATATAATAATAAAAACAAACAGTAAACTTTTCTTGCTAAGATTTTCCATATATGTAGTACCCATTTAACATTCTTACTTGTAATCCATCCATATACAAATATCACATCATACGCAGATCTAGAGCACAAGTGCCTTATCCAAATTGGATATAGTCTAGGATTAAGTGTGTGTACTCATATACGATTTAAGTGCCTTAAATTGCATAGTTATACACATTTTCTATATAGATATATATGTTTTATGCGTCGCATATATAGAACTCAATGACCATACGAAAATCAGTGTAAACCGTCCAATATTTTTTATGTTTTCATGTGAAGCGTGTAAATGTTATACAGCCGTTGTTATTGTTTACATGTGCGAGAACATAAGAAAAACCATAATCATTTACATTTATAATTATGTAGTTTATTTAATTGTATGTATGTGTGTACGTATGTAGTTTGTCCAATTCATTTATTCAAATAAAAATTAATATTATTTCTCATTTGTGAAATGTTCTGCATAGTGTGCATTGTATTCTTCTGTCAACATGTTTCATTGAGAGTATGACATGAAATATATCATCCATGTAATCATATCTATGAAATGTCATTCATTTGGAAATGGAAAATGTTTTTCAGCTTTTCATCGGTAGCAAAATTAAGTAAAAATAAAAACTAATCTATAGATAGAGCGAGGCAGCAAAGACAATGTCGCGCTTGAGCAATCGAATGCCTTCGGAGAACTTGTTCTCCAGATCCGTGTTGCCAATCGTCTTGGATGCCTGGCACAACTGACGCAACAGCTCCTCCAGACGCCGCATGCACCGAATGATGGAGCCCTCAAAGATGTCCGTCATCTTGCAGACATTCAAGAAGCTGGAGCCGTTGCACCAGGCCAACACAACGTCCATTAGGTAAGGCTTGAACTTCTCCACGTAGCTCTCCTCATCCAGATTCAGCTTGCATTCGGTGGACACTTTGGCAATGCGTCGCGCCAAGCTTTGCAGGGAGCGCAACGGGCCGGACAGCTCGGTGGCGCTCTTTGGCGCCTCGCTGGACTTCTCGTCGCAGACGAAGCAGGAGAGCAGCGCCACAGCTTGCGGAGCGGTGAGGTCGTTGAAGACGCCATTGAATATCATTTCAGTGATGAGCAGCTCATCCGCGGAGCTCAGCTCGCAGGCGACGCGACCTTTGAACTCGATGACATCGCCCGGCTTGCAGTAGCCCATTCGCCGGAGCACGCGTTTGCGGAACTTCAACTCGTCCATTTGCAGCAAGCTGCGGGCAGCCTTCAGCTCGGCCTTCAGGTCCTTCACCTCATTCTGCAGCTTTAGTTTCTCGATATAGCGCTTGTGAATGCGATCCAGCTCCGGCGACTTGTGCAGGGGATGCGCCTCGAGCAGCTGCTCAAACTGTGTGATTGTGTCCATGATTTTGCGGAATTCGCCATCCTTAATATTCATGTCCTTGATGGGATCGAGCAAAGGTGGTCCCAGTGGGAATCGTTTCTTCGCCTCCTGTATGGTCTTCAGCACGGCCCGGCGATTGTCAGCCGTACGCAGATCGCTGGGAAAGTAGACGCGTATCGAGCTAATTTGGGTGATGAGGGAATTGGCTACGGGAACTACCTCCATGCAGCCGCGCTCGTTCGGCGGACAAGGCGCGGTGTCGCCGGTTTTGGCCGCCTCTTCGCTGACATGGAGCAGCACATCGATGACAATGCCCGGTTCGCTCTGCAGCGGGTTCTTGCGATTTTGCTCCTGCTTCTTCTTAAAGTTCAATATCAGACCCCAGTCGTACTCCTGTTTGCCAGCCGAGACTTTAACCAATCGCCCTGGCTGCAGGAAAGGCACGAGATACTTTGGCTTGGTCATCCACTCCCGGTACTTGTTGCCGTAGACCTCGAGCTGATCGCGAATGTGGTGATAGGAGGCGATATTGTGCTCATCCTTGATCTTGATCTTCTCCAGCTGCTGTGTCTTCTGCTGCACCTGATCGTGTAGGCCGGGCAGTGCGGCCTGGTTTTGGAACTGATAGAAGCTGCGCTCGAGCATATACTCCGGGTTGATTTCTTCCACGCGCAGCAGATTTAACACCATGTTGTAGGTGAGATGGAACGCCGAGTTAAGAGTGTCTGCTTGGCCCTGCACAATCTCACGGCCCACCACCGGAGAGACCTTCTCATCAATCATCAGTATAACGATGCCCTTGTCATCCAGACCGCGACGACCAGCTCGTCCAGCCATTTGGATATACTCGCCCGAGCTGATCCAGCGGAAGTCCTTGCCGTCGAATTTGCGCGGCGCCGTAAACAGTACCGTACGCGCCGGCATGTTCAAGCCCATGGCAAACGTCTCTGTGGCGAAGAGCGCCTTAATCAGGCCCTCGCCGAACAGAATCTCAATGGTCTCCTTGAGAATGGGCAGCAGTCCGCCGTGATGGATGCCAATGCCACGACGCAGCAATGGCAGCACATTCTCCACCTGCGGCAGGCGACGATCATCCTCCGAGAGCACATCCATGGCATTATTAAAGACCTCATCCACCAGTTTCTTCTCGTCGACCGTATTGAAGTCCAGCTTGGCCATTTGCATGGCGTACACCTCACAGTCCTTTTTGCTGAACGAGAAGATGATGACGGGCGCAAAATGACGCTCCATAATCATCTTGACAATCTTGAATATATTTGTTTGGCCTGCATTGCTGCCCTTGATGCCACCCTTGCGACCCTTCTGATCGCCTTTCGCTGCCTCACCTGCAAAGATTTATTCAGATAAATATATACCAAGGCATACATTAATATGTCCCCATCATCTATTCGTACCTGCATTGGCCAGCACCGCCATAGCTGTGGTAAAGTTATCCTCTTTGAACTGGCCCTTCTCATCCACGATCAAGTGAATGCCATCGCCTCCAGCTGGGAAGATGTAATGCTGCAGCGGCGTGGGGCGGTAATCCGTGTAGACCACATGGCAGGGCTGCTTGTGCAGGTGGCAAACCCATTCGGCAAACTGTCGAGCGTTCGGTATGGTGGCTGAGAGAAAGACGTAGCGCACATTGTCGGGCAATAGGATGAGTGTCTCCTCCCACACCACTCCACGCTCCTTGTCACGCATATAATGTATCTCGTCGAAAATCACCCAGCCCACCTCGCGCATTATTTCGCTGCCGCGGTAGAGCATATTCCGCAGAATTTCCGTTGTCATGATCAGACAGGAGGCGGAGGGATTAATGGTAACATCGCCCGTAACCAGACCAACATCCTCAAACTCATCTGTGAATTCGCGAAACTTCTGATTGGACAGCGCTTTAATGGGAGTGGTATAAATGACGCGCTGCTTGGCAGCCAACGACTTGGCAATGGCATATTCCGCCACCACAGTCTTGCCCGCCGATGTGTGGGCCGACACCAGCACACTCTGCGAGTTGTCAATGCAGAGAATTGCCTGCTTCTGGAATGGATCCAGTACGAACGGGTATTCCTTAGCAGGCACGCCGGTGAACGGCTGCAAGGGAATGTACTCCTGGTCAGGATGGGCGGCCACCTCGTGTGTGCAGGACTCGGGCGACACCAGCTGATGGGTAACAATACGAACGCGTAGGGCGTCCAATGCGCAATCATCCATTTCCTCTTCATTGTCCTCTTTTTCATTTTTCACCTCATCCGTCGCATCAACAGCAATTTCGTTTACTTCTTCTTTTACATCGACACGCTGCCGCTTAGCATCCTCTTCCTTTACATCATTCTCTTCTGTTTGCTCCTTGGCGCTGGCATCTGCATTAGCTGCAGCAGATTCGCGTTTGATCGCCTTTTGCTGTTTGTTGTCGCCATCTGACGCAGTTCTCTCTGTCTGTTCTTCTGCTGCCTTTTTAAAGGGTACGGGCAACGGTAACCGTAGACTTTGAGACGGCTGTTCGTTAAAACAATCAAATAGCTCGTCTATATCCATTCTATTTTTCTTTCTCGGCACCTCCTTTTAAAATGAATTCACACCGTATAGAAAAAACATGTGTTTCGGAGCACTCCTCATTTTTGTGTTCATTTAACAGAATGTTAAAATTGCAACTATTCAAATACTCAGTTGGCACTGTTGCAGGATTTTTATTATTTGAATTATTTTTTATTGCGAATAATGAAATAAAATTACAATAATATATGGCATGTATTACATATTATATAATATCGTATTGATGTATTATATTCTGTAAAAAAAATTAAGAATTTTTATGATATTTATTATAATATTCTTGTAGGTGATTTTTTTATTTAAACCCGTCGCATAATACATATTTACATATTTCCATTATCATCTTATATTGCTTAATAAAATTATTTAATAAAATAAACAAGCCAATTTTTAAATATTCTTAATATCAATTTTGTTTTCGACTGTAACTGTTATTAAAATAAGGAATGTCAGCATTGTTAGTTGCCATGTAATCGATAATGCTTGAAGAAAACTAATCGATTAAATGCTAATGGATTAGCAATAGCGGCGGCGACACAGAGAGGAAAAACAATTGATATATTTGAAGTCCTGAGGATTTTGTTAGTTGCAAAATGGAAAATGATGAAGTTAAACGTGGCCGTGGACGCGGACGTGGTTCACGAGCGCGGGGTCGAGGCCGCGGTCGCGGCAGGGGACGCGGTAAAAAAATTGATGACACAGGCAGCACATTAGAGGCATTCGAAGGAGGCGCTGGAGTTGTTGTTGCACCTGTGTCAGGTAGCGGGACCGTTGAAGATAGTCCCAGCAGCATGGATCACACAGAAGATGTCGTAATGCAAGACCTAGATAAAGAGAACGAAATGGAGTTAACAGCATCGGCCGAAGAGCAGGCAACACCCATTGCGGACAGAACGCCACCGCCTCAGCAACAGCAGCTGCAGCAGCAGGTAGCGCCGCCCATGCTACCACAGACAAGTAAGATAGGTGTTATAACCGAGAAATGCTGGAAAAATAATTTGCGTTTTTTACAGTTGACATGGAAGCGGATATATCACAGTTGGAAGCACCCACATTTACAACATTGTCGCGCGGACCACCGGAGCCCATGCTGCGCCTTAAATGGAACCACAAAGTGAACCTCATTGGCGAAAAGGTGCTCAATCCGATGATCCATTGCTGCGACCAGTGCGACAAACCCATTCTTGTCTACGGCCGCATGATACCCTGCAAACACGTCTTTTGTCTCAAGTGTGCTCGCGCAGAGCCTATCAAGAGCTGTCCGCGCTGCAGCGATAAGGTGCTGCGCGTCGAGCAATCCGGCCTTGGCACGGTCTTCATGTGCACGCACGGGGGCAGTCGGTATGGCAGCACCGGCTGTCGCCGTACGTATCTCTCGCAGCGCGATCTGCAGGCGCACATCAATCACCGGCACGTCACACCACAGCCGCCACTGACAGCGTCGACGGGCGTGGAGCCAAAGCTGACGGAGATGAGCGGCCTGGAGTTGCATAAGCAGCGCAAGGCGAGTAGTTGCTATGGCTCCTAACTATGCCACTCTCTGTCTAATGCTTGCCCTTGCAGTTATCTGAACCCTCTACCGCCTCCATCTCTTCTTCCTCTGCTGCTACTGCCGCTGCTGCTCACATGCAACAGCGTTCCACAACGCGCACTGGCATAGGCTCGATACCTCCACCAGGATCCTCCGAACGAGCCGCTGGTCACACACACTCAGCTCTCACGTTGGCGAACCTGGCACGTATCAACAATGCGAACGCCCAGGACTGCCACCAGGGTAAGGCATCGCTCCACCAGACCCTCAAGAAGGGCACGCATCAGTCCGAATCAGTGGCAGATGCCTCCTACTACAGTAGCGTGCTCGCCACGTTTGGCAGTGCGGGCGTGGCAGCTGGCCCTTCAACGGCATCGACTAGTTCGCCAGCTATTCCAAACTGTGCACCCAATAGTGGCAGCGCATCTGGCGGAGGAGCAGCTGCAGGCGCAGGCAATGGCAGCAGCATGAATCTAGGCAACGCCGCCCAATTGAGCAGCAGCTACGACATCGGCAACGCGACAGGCAGCACCAGCAGCGGCAGCAACTGGCAGCAAGCTCAATATTACAGATAGGCTCTTGATTGACTTTTATTTGATATACTTATATATTTAATTATTGTACAAATAAACAGTTGTATATGGAAAACTTTTGTCGGACTTTCAAATATGTAGATCAAAGCCAAATTAATCGATTGCACGTTGTACATCGAATTTTTTGGCAAGTTAATGTGGCTTATCGTTATTGGTGCTTATGGTATAACGATAACTTTTGTCATCAGCTGAACCAGTGGCTGCACAAAGAAAAAGAACACCCATATATGTAAACAATTTAAATTTGAGCAGAAGGAGAACAAAGCTAATTTACATAAGTACAAAGATGTAATAAAAGACTGGAAATGCCAACTTTGACACGTTGTCTCACATAAATTAACATCCGAATTATATTGGACAAGTCACGTAGTCATTTAAGCAAAAAGCGCAGTCAAGAGTGAAAGTTGCTTAGCTAAGAAAATATGCAAAAAATATTATTAATTAGTGGCAAACGGAAATGTGGTAAGGATTTCATTGCAGAGAGATTGTTAAACCGGTGAGTATATTCTTAACAAGGTAAAGGACATGAAATTTAGATATAGTTCGAACAGTCTGGCAGATCGTGCTCTGATCGTTCGCATCTCAGAGCCCATTAAAAAGGAATGGGCGAACAAGCTGCAACTGGATATACAGGCTATGCTCAGCGATGGCCCCTATAAAGAGCAATATAGGCGGGACATGATCGTGTGGAGCGATGAGGTGCGTCGCAGAGATTACGGTTTCTTTTGCCGTGCGGCCATGGAGCAGGCGCCCGTGGATCAGGTGGAGTATGTCATTGTCAGCGATGTGCGCCGTAAGAACGATATACGCTGGTTCCGTGAGACGTACGGCCCCCAAATGGTGCAAACACTACGTTTGACGTCGTTGCCAGAGACTCGCAAAGCGAGAGGCTGGCAATTTACTGCAGGCGTGGATGACGAGCCATCCGAATGTGATTTGGATGACAGCTCCTTTGACTATGTGCTTGAGAATGATAAGGACGATCAGAGTGGGGAGCAGCTACTTGATCGAATTATGGATATGTTACAGATTAGCTGATTAAAGTGGCCTTCTCATATATGTATTGGTATACAAAGTATATATTTTTGATATCAATTATATTTTTGAACGAAAGCAGCTAGAGATGTCTTACACTTTCCACGCACGAGTTGATGCAAATCATCGATAACTTATTTGCACATCGATGGGGATTAAAATCACTGTTAGTTTTTTTTTAAATATATGAATATATTTAATTTTTAATATTGGTTAATGGTGGGCTGTGTAGCTGTTGATTTGTAAAAACTAAAATGTTAAAGGCAAGATTTAAGATAATAAAACATCAACCTTCGAGTATGCGGATACTCGAATTCAATTGAAGATCATCGAAGCTGTGCACTTGCGGTTTGCGTAAATCCTTCTCAACAGAACGCGAACGGAGGTGCATACGATTCTTGTTGACGCAGCTGAGAGGCGTTCGCTGTCCACGCTGCTGATTGTCGGGCGTGCTCTTGGGGGTGCTGGTCACTCCCTCTGGGGTTGAATCCACATATATCTGCGGCTTGTTGGCGCGTGCAGGCTTGCGGGGTGCAACACGTCGCTTGTTGCCCAGGCGAACGCGTTCCAAATGTTTGTTAGCTGGACGGGATTGGGACAGCGACTGTGGCTGCACCTGGGCCTGTGCATTATCTGGTATCGGCTCTTCGCTGGCACTTACGAACGAGGCCATGCTGCTCCCGTTGCTTAGATTAAGCGTGAGGGTCTCAAGGATCTCCTCCAGCATTTGGGTTTCACGTGCCTCGCTCTCATCATCATCACAAAATATAATGGGCGTACGCTCTACCCCAATGGTAGGCGAGCGTGGATCCTTTGTATGTGGCTGCTCTGGTGTTCTCTGATGCAACAACATGTCACAGGGCATCGTTTCCTCCTGCTCGTACGGCAGAGAAACAATTTCCACGGAGCTATTGTTGTGGCTCTCAGTGGCCACCTCTGGCTGTGCTACTGGAGCACGCGTATCCACGAAGAGATCGGCAAATGTGTCGTCCATATTTAGCGTGCGATCGATGGCTTCGTCGAGCATCAGAGGCGTGCGATTGAGTTGTGGCGAGCGCGGATCATTCAAAGAAAAACCCTTCAACAGCCGTTTTCGCAGCTGCGCAAAAGTATTTTCGTTGCCAGTTTGCTGCATCTGGCATATTTGCGGCTCAGCTGGCAATATCTAGACGAAAATCGGCTTTAGGAAACTAAAAACATATGTGCTATATACGTACATTTAATGGTGTGCGACAGATGTTGGGCGAGCGTGGATCTAGCGTCGCAATATTTTCCCTGCAGGGGCTCATTGAAATCGCTATGGTTGATCTTTGTGCAGCAGTGGCAGTGCCCGCAAGACGCAGTCTGTTTAAAGTTGGCGTATCTGGCAAGTAGGTGCCCTCCATTTTAGTAGCTTTGGTGCCCATAATTTTTAATTTGCAATGCTGCGCTGTTGTATTTGAAATGAAAAATGCGGGAGACGTTTCTAGCGTCGATATATTTATATGTACAAATATCGATTGCAGAAATATATATCACCACTAACCAGAGAACACATAGACCGGACACGTAGTGTAAAGTGTTTTGCACACTTTTTTTTTGACATTACGACCCACACCACTTCGTATTTGCTCGGC